GACCGAGCTTCAAATTCCAGGAGGGTAGATAAAATAAAATTGATGACCGCGAGCTTCGGAAACAAACAGCGAGTTTCTGTATACGTAACAAAGGCGACAATATCTGGTTGAAAATGGAGCTGGGTTTTGCCAAATTACAAATTTTTGAGTGTTATTAACATCGTACAATTGAATAGGTACCATAGAGACACTAAACAAACTTTCGTCAGTCGAGTGTTCATCTGAAAATTTTTGACGATACACATTTTGTTGAGCACCGTCACATCCCCACTTAACAATGATGTCAATGTTTTTAACATCCTCAGGCAAAGTTTGAAGTACGTCCTCTTGCGCTTTACAAAGTCTTATTATAGTGTGATCAAGAAGAGATTGCAATGGAATATCAGCGTATGTTTCGGTAACTGTAATTTCTTTGGGGTAGCAAATTTTCTTAGCATCCTTCACTTTATCATAAGATGGATAAATTTTACTGGCGACTTTTTTGGCTTGGTCACGTATAATAGTGTTTTGGTTCGTCGAAAGACTCGCATCAACTATCATAGCTAACGCTTTGTCTGCTGATAATTTTGACGCTTTATCGAGTGATGCATTTCGAGCTTTCTTTATTTTGGTGCCCCTTGTAGGAGAAGAAGAACAAAGTTCCTTTACGATCGCAGCCGAGTCGCGTTTTCCTGGCTTGCGCAATTGAAGCTCAACAGCCTTCGACAGTTCTTCAGTGTTTGTCGATTCGACAAGCCCTTTGATTTTCCTAGTCTGAACTTTCAAAGAACACTCTTCAAACGCCTTTTTAGGTCTACCGCTTGTATTTTGTTTTATCGAAGGATCAGGCACAAAGTCGAACGAGACCTGCTCTTCCAACCACGCTGTGTTCTCACTTAAAAATCTCGTTCGGTGGCGATTAGCTTTGTCTCATGTAACCTGTATACTATGTACACTAGGGTGGACCTTAGCTACTCTTGTGCAAAAATTTTTTTTAAATTCATTTGATGCGACCGTTGCAATCTGTTCTACTCGGTAAAAAACTAATTTCCTCCAAATTTCAAGTCGATCGGACAAAGGGAAGACGTGTCGCAACGAGTTTGTTTATTTTAATGTAATATTCTTATTATATCAAAGCAAAAATTAAATTGTTTAATGAATTTGTTTATGCAAAATTTTTAATATTTATTTTTTAAATATAAAATTTGATCTCACATTAATATAAGGAAAAGTAGAAAAAGAAAGTTAAATACTTATAATTAAATATTTTATTTATAGGCCTAATTATAATAAGAATATAAATAATTTTTAAAAATCTGTACTTAATGTTGTTTTATCAATTTTTGGGTATTTTTCCCTATAATCGGTTACAATTTGTAATATGAATTGTTTTTCTTCTTCGTTTTTGTATAACGTTGAATTATAATCTTTCATTAATTTTACTGCTCTTTCGGCAACATCATTTACAACTTCTAATTTTGTTATAATACCTATCGCTTCGATATAATTATTATTAGTTTCCCATAGTGCTGGATCAATTAAAAGAAAATCTGAATTTATATTGAACCGTTTGAAAAAATTATTTGATTCGGATGATACGAAATGTTGTATTTCTAAATTCGCAAGATTTTTAATTTCTGTAGTCGTTTTCATGTATCTCTTATAATTATTATTATTGTTTACATTTTGTAGTACTTGTACCATCGATCTTTTTGTTTCTACTGAAACTTTTTTATCAAAAAACGATAGCGCCGCATTCTCCGGTGACAAGTACCATAAATGGTTCACAATTTTTTTTAATGCCACATCGCTTATTTCTTCGTTAACATTTTTGTAATGAATTATATTTTTGATGAACTCTAGATCTACACGTGGCGCCATAGCAGTCATTGGGGTCAAAATCCACGGCTCAATATAAATGTTAATTAGAAATATACATGTATCTCTAATGCTACTATACTCTTCCTGGTTGAGAGGAAATTCGTTTCGAAAAATAAATATTTTTAAAGTGTATATTATTTTAGCCATCCACATCGCATGGTGAAATGCGCCAGGCATTTTGAATGAAATGCCACCCAAAGGAATCCCCCCAAGAAAAATTATTGCTAATTCTAAAAATTCTTTGTAGTCATCTCTTGGATGACTCATTTTTGTGTAATTTTTAAAAATTTCGATGTATATGTATGTTTCAGAACGTAATCGTCGCGCGTTCCCGGGATGTAATTATTTTTATTAATTTCAGGCCAACTATTTTGAAATTTTTTAAAAAGTTGAATATTCGGACCTGTTGTTTTCGGCATTTTTAATTCAAAGACCCCACGCAACACAATTTCGTATATGTGATGGCGGCAAGGAAAATACAAAAGATCTCTTTCAATTCTTTGTTTTAGCAACACACATGCGCCCTGTAATCGTCCCGTATTTGACGAAGTCGTGTCACAGCATAAAGCTTCGACGTGGTCCGTTAAATTCCATTCTTCTAAGGTTGTAAATATCGCCAAGGCCTGATCGCTTCCACTACTGGAAGGAATCGCAGGTATCCCCAATAATTTTCGTACACCGTTGCACGAAATTACCACTGGAAGTCGCTTCACAGTTTTCTTGTCAAAAGTAGGCAACATCGCGTCATCCTAATGTACAGTTATCCCCCTTAGATTAATTTTTCCGAACATTTCCCGCAGATGTTTGGCGTGATCTGCACGAAAATTATGGCGAAATCGCCGAAGAGAAGTGCGATTAATAATTAATTCATTTGTATTGTGACCTAAGCTCTCTGCTGTTGCCATAATAATACGAACAGCATCGCGATCGCTGATTTTGCACGCATCTAAAGCTGCAACTAACTTTGAAGAAAATACTTGGACTTTTCCTCTTCTTTTTCGGTCACTCGGCCCAGGTATATTCGAATCACCTTCAACTTCTGAGTCACTGGATACCTGCAACCCCTCAGGAACATTCCCAATGCTCGAACCTAACGGAAAATCTCCAATGCCCGAACCTAACGGTACATTCATTGTCATTTCGTCGCTGGATGACGACGAAGATTGTAGCTGCACTGTTTCTGTAATGTAAAAATAAATATACTGAATTTATTTCTAAAACATTAGAAATATATTTAAAAGAGTTAAATTTTAAAAATATATATTACCTTGTACAAGTGATTGTTGACCTTGTTCTTGTAGTGTTTTCGTCCGGTCTTTTCGAAGAGTTTTCCGCTTTTCTTTTTCTGCTAAAGCATGATCACTGGCACCCATTAGTCCAACTCGCCCTTTTTTCCTCTGTTTCAATAGAAATAATTTATCTTCTTCGATTTTTATCATTTCTAAAGCATTCGCATAGACGATGTCAAATAAATCGTCCAACGAATCTTTGAATTCTTGTTCCCGCTGTATTTGGATTGCAGTTCGACGATTGACAGATTTATATAATGTTCTCTATTTCTGACAAAGAGGCCTCAACTTGTCAATGCTATCCGACGTCTTCTTCACTGATATTCGTGATTTCTCCCAAAACGTTTCAGTTTCTTTTATAACTAGAGTAGCACTTGTTTTAAGGTCGAGCTTTACTTTTCTCATATTATAGAAAAGAACTCGTAACACTTGTCCGTTACTCAGCAATTTGTTGTTCGTAGTAGTCCAATATAAACAATTTATCACTACTTCTTGTCTCCATTTTTGATCACTGCCACACTAACAAATTTCGATACTTCGTGATGCGAATACCTCGAACTCTCGACGTAAAGTGAGATTTCTTTTACTAAGGGACTAAGGGACTAGGAAGCAGGTATAAAACTGGAAATAGAAGGATAGCTCTTTGGAAGGGGTACTGGTTATACCGTTGGCAGCTGCAGCGGCCAGAGCCGAGCGATTCCCGCGCGTAGATAATACAACGACGCGACCGTTTGGCGCGCTCATAGCTCTACTCCGTAATGTAATAAACCAAAATATTGACAATATTGTTGAAACTTTCAAGTAAAATTTCTTATTATACAACCAAAAGATGATATTTTTATGTTATAACAGTAACTCTTATCATTAAACATAAAATTTGAGTTGCATGTAAAATTAAAGGGAAATTACTGAAATTTTCAAACCTCAAACCGATTGCGACACCCTTTCCTGTTGTCCAATTGAGTTCTTCTTTTGCAGAACTTATTTTTTTGGATCTGGAACAGATCTAGGAGGTCGCATAAAACAAATCAGATGGTCGAAAAATAAGGTCCACCCTAATGTACACATTTCCGTATTTTGGCCTTTGTACTAGAAGACATCTGTCTGACTCCTGTTTGTTTCATTATGAAGTTTGAAACAACCTCCAACTTGTTTGTATGAGCTCGGGCCCACACATCGAATAACGCTCGCCATATAAACACGTGTGGCATTTTCTGAAAAAAATACGATTTAACGTTATCGCGCAAACATGCGCAAGGTTTTTTTAATGTTTTGGGTAGTATACTAAATGAGCTACAAGTAGAATCAAATTTTAGGGTGGAAAACTTTGGAACACATAATTAAAACCCTTTTTGAAAACTAAAAACTACTTTTTATCAATGACGAGAACACTCTGTTTTTTAAAAAATGTTTTCTATCTAATCATTTGACAAATATTTAAGTTAAAATACAGATCTTTCCTGTAGACATAGGCAATATTGTAGAAAAACAGCACTGACCACTCAGCCGAGACACAGCGACACAGCAGTCGTATAAACATAACCTACGCTGAACGGCTGTCGCGGAGCTCCGAGCGCATGTTCGTCTATACGTTGTTTTGAGATCCATTGTACCCATACTGCGGGTGACTAATGTGCAAGTAAGCCACGTTTCCTTTCAACTGAGATATTCAGCTGATTAAATACCTACAAATAGTTAGGGTTTATAAAAAAAGTCACGAAGTTGGAAAATCGAATAAAATTCCCCTAGATTGCCGAAATCTCGCACTGTGCACCGCAGAGATCACTTCCAAAGCGCGGAAGATTTTCACGCGCATCACTCTCGGACGCACCGCAGAGGACACTTCCAAAGCGCGGAAGATTTTCACGCACAATCGACTCTCGGACGCACCGGAGAGGACGCTTCCAAAGCGCGGAAGATTCTACGCACACAATCTCCTCTGGGACGCACCGCAGAGGAGGAATAGAAATGATTCTAAGAAGAAATGCGATTGACGTGTTACGTATACAGAAACTCGCTGTTTGTTTCCGAAGCTCGCAGTCATCAATTTTATTTTATCTACCCTCCTGGAATTTGAAGCTCGGTC